TGCCCAGGGATTGAGTCACCATCCCTGGAAGTATTTAAAAGACGTGTAGATGAGGCGCTTCGGGACATGGTTTAGTGGGCATGGTGGTGTTGTGTTGACGGTTGGACTCGATGATCTTAGAGGTCTTTTCCAACCTTAATGATTCTATGATTCTATGATTCTTTCTCACCTTTTTCTGGGTTGAAGAGTTAATGGACCTATGCTACTCCCACTAGTGCAGATGAATTCAGTGGGAGCAGGAGCAGGTCCTGTGTGTATGAATGACTTTTCTTTTTTTAAGATATTTTTCTTCCTCTCTCTTCTACAATCATTAGTAAGACCTATTTCTATTCTATACAGCTGCAAAAAGAAGCCCTGGGCAGCAGCCTCATGAGTTCCAGGAACTGAAGCAGAGGTCCTTAAGTAAAGACGGCCATCAGGGAAGCAAGTCCAGTGACTCTGGCGAAGAAGCAGATAAAGATTTTATTTTTGTTTAGCAATCAGTACAAGTGCTTTGTAGCGCAAGAGCTTTTTATAACAATCAGGGTACAGCAATCAACAGCCCTTCTAGACAGCTGCTCTTTCACCACAGGTACATTTCCATGCAGAAAACCTGATTCTTCCAATCGTGATTTACAGTACAGTCACTTGGCATTGATTCGGTCCTTAATTTCTGTTCTGTACAATGCAGACCTTCCTTTCCATGCCTTTGCTAAAGCCAGCGATTCTTTCATGTATTCTACTTGAATTTCTCTGAAGCAGCTACAAAGAGTGCCCTGCATTAGGGCATTTAGAAAGCAAAGCAAATTAACTGGACACTGTCTTACACTAATACACTGTACAGCAGGTGATGTGTTGTACTGCTGAATGTAAATGTGTCAAATCTGCACGTGACTTACCTATAAATATATTCTTGCGGTATGCAATTGCACATTGTAATTATATTAAAAGAGCACACTAATAAAGTAATTTGTATAGATTATATATATTAAATGCTTGGGTATGGTTTTTACATTCTCCCATAGGGAGCTTCTTTCTTCCTGTTCTCGTACTGTACATAAAGCTCCAACGCTTACATTTGTGTACTGTCAAAAAGCACAACAGAGAAGGATTTGGATGACGTATAATCATGGTATGCTTCCACATTCATAAATTAATGTATATAGTGGATTGGAATGAGGGCAATTGAAATTTTATTAATATTGCTGTTTTCTAGAGGCCTTCCTCAGTTCTGTCTGCGTATTAGCTTCCTTTCAATGTGTAATTCTACGAGAAAAATAGTTTGACATCTGTAAAAACATTTCAGCTTTTGAGGGTGGGGGTGCAAATTTCCCAAATTACCCACTTACATTACAGGTTGAAGGGATTTTATTCATATGTATATTTGTAACAATAAAAAATGATTTTACAACTGAAATACTAGTCTTTGTTTTTACAACACTGTTTGTGGTCTGACGGTCTCTGCTCTTTGAATGATGTGTGTGAGGTAGACATTGTGTGAGGTAGACAAAGTATGCAGTTAAGACAAAACCCATATAATCTTTTTCTGCTTCTAGTAAACTGAAAGGGACACATACACATCATCTTCGTAAAACTGCTGAAAGAAGATCTCTTTGCTAATCTCCTCCCTTGGCATCTTCAGCAAAGCAGCCTTCACATGAGCCAGAAACACCTGCTATCTAAATTCTCTAATTTGGCTCCAAAGGGCAGAACAAAGTTGCTTTGGTAACTCTCTCCCAAGAGCAATTTCCCTGGCCCTGGGTAGAAATGCTCAGATACCTGCCTGTCAAATGACCTTCAGTCTGATCCCTGTGCTCATACCTGCTATTGCCACTTCTCCTATTGCAGTATAAAGGGCTGCTAAGTCAAAACAGTAGCCTTTTATACCAGAACATCTTAGAAGCACATCTCCAAAGTAGGCTACAAGGCTGTGGGAAAGAGGTCCTGACGGCTGGGGGTTCATAGCTGGGGTTTGCACTGGCTGGAAATTTTGCACTCGTCTAAAATCATTAAGAGGAAGTTCTCCATTTTCACATACATATATTCTTGATTTATTGGGCATCAGTGAGAACAAAAGACAAATGGGAAAGGAAAACTTGAGATGTTTGTATTAGAAAGGAAAAATAATCCAGTCATAAGTAAACTGCAATTTTATTCCCACAGGACATGGAAAAGGCAACTGTCTGAGAAGTATACAAGAAGGGTTGCCTGATTTGTTGGTTTTGTGAATTTAAGAAAACTAACAGCAAGGTTTGTGGTATTAATAAAAAAAAAAAAAGAGACTCTAGATGTCCTTCTCACCACTCATCTGACATACTGTCCTGGTCCCGCTGTGAAAAATCATGGCAATAGAGTGTGCCCATCACCCTGGTATCAGAAAACCAAAGACAGGGATGTCTGAAATGCTGTAGAGAAAGTCTGTGTTTGTGCTGATAAACACAAGAAGAAAAAAAGCTATAGTGCTGTAATAGTTGTCTGCTGGAGTATAAAGATTTCATTAGACAGCAATGTTTTTCCATATTAGTTATGGAAAGCCTTTCTAGTCTTTATTCCAGCCATCAGTGTGTGGTGGGCAGGCTGAGCAGTGGAGAACGACTTTAGGGGAGTGCTAGTGTGAGCTCTTTTGGTTTTGTGTGCGTGTGTGGTTTGGGTGTGGGGAGGAGCGATGATTTTCATTTCTCTGCTATCTTTCTGCCTGGCGAGCCCAGCACTGTCAGCCCGATTGCAAAGAATTCACGTTGCATCCAGAGCACCCCCATTGTACCTCTTCTACATTTAAGAAATAGTGACTTTTATTTTCAGTATCTTGAGGCCATAGAGGCCTCAGGTAAGTGCCAGTGTGTTTCGGGGAAGTAACAACCACCGTACCCTGGTGCCAGACCAAGCTGGTTGGGAGGTTTGGGGGGCCATGGCTCCAGGGGGCAAGGGAGGTGCTGCCTTTCCATGAGCTGTGGGCCCTCCGAAGCAGACATGCAGCTGGGGGAACCCTCCTCCTTTCTCTTGTTGCCTCCCTACTGCCTGAGCCGCCCTGCAGATGCTCTGCGATCGGTCCCCCGGGCTCCCTGCCTGTCCCTGGCCATGCACTGCCCTGTGTGGGCGACGGGCAGAGCCCAGAAGTTCAGCTGCTTTGGTGGGATGCCAATGGCAGAGATTCCTGGAGCTCCTGGGAGGCTGAACAGAGAGATCAGCTAGTGGTACCACTTGTTCTCCCAGGGCATCCATAGTGTCTTTGAGTACCACCAATGCTCTGCATTCCTCCCTGTCCCACACCGGGCACTGCCTGAGCACCTCCAGCCATGCTGGCGGTGGCGGGAGCAGAGGTTGGCATGGGAAGAGAAGGTGCCTTGCTCCCAGGCACATCACCAGTCTTCCTCTCAAAGCGAGGGCATCTCCACAATGCCGTGCTGCGTGGTCTGGCTGCTCAGAAAGGGCTCACAGGGTCCAGCTAGGCTTATGTCTGACACAATGGTTTGGTCCCTGGACCTGTGGCTGATCTTAGGCAATACAGCAGCTGCATGTTGCGTTTGCTGTGTTTGGAGGTGAGGGCGAGGGGGTGGCAGCATCTGAGGTGACAGTGAGGTCCTCTGCATCCCTCCATGCACACAAGCACGTGTACTGTATGACTAAATCAGACTGAAGGACCCGGCAGCCCTGGTCACCCGGTTAGAAATGCTGCCCTGGAAGGGGTCCTAGCACCAGCATCTCCAGTCAGAGCTGCACCTACCTGATCCAGCCTTGGGAAAAAGGGGTGAGAGAGGGAGCTGCCCTGCCCTTTTCTGCTCCTAAATCTGGTTTTCAAGTTTTGCCGTTGAATTTCACCCATGATGTACGTAGCAGGAGCACCTCCCCATCCAAGAAGCGCTGGAGAAGGGCTGTGGCTGCCTGCCAGGCTCCAGCGTGAACTCAGACAGCTCTGCATCACATCTGCAGGACCTACTTCCCACTCCCTACTAAAGGAGGTTAAGATTTTGAGCATTTTAAAGTATTCCCTGATGTGTAGTAACAACAGTAAATAGCTGCTTCCTAAGATGGGAACAGCAATCGTCTTAAATCCTCTCCCTCCACTAGAGCCATCCAGCCGGGCTGAGACAATTTGGGAATTAATGTGGCCCATTAGTCACAAATCTGCACGACCCATCGCACTTAACTGAGAGCTGCCATCAGCGCGAGCTTTTGCTGCGGCTACTTACTAATTGATTAATGTGGAGATGATTTCTCTCTACTGAGAAACATTTTCTAGGAAAATACCAGAAAGCTCTGCTCCTGTTTGAAACGCTGCTTTCCTATGGTCATGAGAGAGCTGTGCTGCCCAAGGGTGCTAATGCTGGGTGGGCTGTGCCCGAATCCCACCTCTGGAGATTATCCTCTGTTTGTGCTGCAGCTGGGGGGAGGTTCAGGTAGTGACACTGTCCTTTGCTTCTCCTGGAGCTGTGGCCCAGAGGATCTCTAACAAATACTGCGCAGGTGAGTACCAGAGATTATCATTTAATGCCAGACTCTTGCTGATCAGGCCTGGAAAGCAGGCCGGTCTTTCCCCATCCTAAGAGAGTCTGTAAATGGGGAGGATGAAAATTGCTACCTAAACACATAGTGATGACCTTCTCTTTCCTTCAAACGTAGGTCATGACAAAACCCAGTTGCCCGAATGATTCCCGCTCAGCGCCGTCAGCCCTCGCCCCCTCCCCGTGAGCCCTTTCCGTAGCTCTGGGCAGGCAGCCGGTGAGCCGGTGCCCAGGGCCTCGCTGCCCTGCCCCTGCCCAGCCGAAACCCTCCTAACCCCTTTGGATGCCCCAATGGCATTGCCAGCGAGTATCTCAAAGGTTACAAACTGCTCACCAGATAATTAAAATGCCTTCAGTCTGTCGCAAAACATTAAGTTGTGTCCTGCTAAAGAGAGAAAAGTGCTGCCTCGGGTTGGCCTCCACCTCCCCATCCTGGATATAAGAGGTCATAGGAAGATCTGCAGGCACCTTCCTGGCTTTCCTCCCCATCCCTGGGCCCATCCTCCTGCAGTCCCTCATGCCTCTTCCCAACGTGAGCGTCTCGCCAGCACCACGGCAAGTGACTCTCCACCTGAGCCTCCACCAGTGTCCGACATTTCCAATGCCATCACGACCACAGGAAGGGCAGGACCCCGCAGTGGCCGGGGTGACTTCCCCGGGGGGCAGAGAGGGATCCGTTCATTTTTGGTTGAGAGCAACCAGCTTCACCAAACAGCCAGGGCTCTCTGGCCCTCAGGCCACCGCTGCGCCTCATGTCAGCGGGCATTGCTGACGGCTTAAAACTCTGCTCTGATCATTGCACATGGAAATCTATTTTTCCCTTCGTGAAACTCAGATTTCCCTAGCTCTGAAAAAAAAATTTGCTGGCAACGTCAATTCAGTGGATTTGGCTGTGGGACTCCCTCCATCTTGTGCTCCCCTCCCGTGCCCCATCCCAATCCCCTGACACACAGAAATGGGTGGAAAACTGTCCAGAGCACCTCAGCCGAAGGCACTGGGGCTGCAGGCTTGTCCTCACAGGGCTGCCCCTCGGCCTGCTGCGGGGCCGTAACAAGGGCAGAAGGGCCGTGGGGTGTCGAAGGCAATACTTCATCGTGGAGGCAGTGGTTTGTTTTAGTCATTTATTTTGGCTATTTACTTATTTATTTGGGGTTATTCTGAGACGTTCTGAAAGGCAAATGTGCCCAGGTTGTCCTTCTGAGGCTCGGAGCGGGGGAGCTAAGAGGTGCCAGCTTCAGCAGGGGCTCCTGCTCTGGAAGCCGGTGGCACCTGGCAAAGGACGTGGAGCCACGTGTGACATGCCATTGGGAGCTCCCTGGCACGGGGGGGGTGTTCAGGGACCCAGGAGCAGGCATCTGAACGGGGTGAAGAAACACGAAAGTGAGGTCTCATGATGAGCTGCAGGGCAGTGAAACGAGTCGAGGGGCCTAAAGGCTGATGGCAAGTCCCTAGAAAGCAGCCTGGGGGGGCTGTGTCCAAGCGTCCCTGGGGGACGAGAGACATCCTGGAGCCTCCGGGGTCACACGCGGTGAGGGGAAACCAGAGCTGGTGGCAAGAGACACGCGCGGCCCCGGCCAGCTGGTGCAGAGCGAGGGCAGAGCTCAGGCCCCTTGTGTGAGGCTTGGAGGAAGAGAAAAGAAGGAAGGGTTCGGCTTCTCTGTCTCTGCCAGCTTAAATGAAATCTTTTAAAAACAACTCTTTTCCTCTGTAGTCCAGGACAGAGCTGTTGGTTCTCCATCTCCTTGGGATGAGGCGCTTGCCTGGGCGGGAACCGGGACCACCGCCCTTGCCCTGCCCTGGGCAGCCTGTGGCAAGTCCCTTCACCTCGCCGTACCTGGGGCTGCAGGCTCACCCCTGCCCCAGGACATCCCACCTGTGGTTGCTCCTGCTGCATCAGAGACACCCTGCAGGGGCA